GCTGTGGGCCTTGCTTCCTGTGGCATGAACTTGTGACTTTCTTCAGAAGGCTGACCTTGGACTTCTAGAGCAACTTCGCTGTTCAGAGAGCCAGAAATGCCTGGGAATTTGTATCCTTCAAGTGGGACCAACCAACCCAGTTTGCTTGAGACCATTTCTCAAGATGTGGAAATTTCATTGCCAAAGGCAAGAAAGTCTCAGGCAAACTGAGATCGTTGGTCACCAAGTACAGCCCCCATACCACTAGTGGGCAGTCCTTAGCCAATATCTGACTAGTGGAGGAGTTTGAAAGCCCAGGTCCCTTGCCTAACGTTGGTACAAATATTCAGGCATAATTAGGTTCTAGAGTTCCTTGCAGGATCCAGGTATCTTTCCCTTTATGTCTTATTCCCCCTCTCTCACATCCCCATGTCTCCTGGGAGCACTTGCTTTATAAATCACTTACATCTCCTCCTCATCTCAGTGAAACACTTCTGGGTATCCCTTCTGAAGAAACCTGCCTTTCTGTGAGTGTTAGAAAATCACCGGATGTTCTCTGTATTGAGGGTTGCTGGAGGGGAGGTGGGTTGGGGGATGGGTTAAATGGGTGATGGGAATTAAGGAGGGCACTTTTGGGATGAGCACTGGGTGTCATATGTAAGAGATAAATCACTGGGTTCTACTCTTGAAGCCAAGACTAAACTGTACATTAACTAACTTGAATTTAGATGATGAAGAAGAAGAAGAAGAAGAAGAAGAAGAAGAAGAAGAAGAAGAAGAAAAAGGGAAAAGAAAAGACAAGAAAGTAAAAAAAAGAGAAAAGAATAGAAGAAAAGAAAAGAAAAAAAAGAAAAGAAAAGAAAATCACAGGATTTGTCTGTCATTGAAATCCTCAAGGCAGCCAAATTTCCTTTTAGCCAAATTTTCAAGCTTCCTTTCCTGAACAGAAACTGATAATAGAGATATTATATATTATATATATTGAACTATATATTTAAAGGCTCCCCATCACTGATTTGCTCTCTCTTTGAACCATCAGAGTTACCATATGATGAGGAGCGATTTGCAACAATTTATGAGAAAAAAAAAAAGAATACCTAATAATAAGGTAGCTGTATATCCTGCATGTTTGATTTAAGGAAAAGGGTTTCCCTTTCAGGACCCTATGAATGTACAAGGTTCAAACAAAGTGCGGGGCACTAATGAACAGACTCTGTTTTCCTGTGCAGGGCCCCTGGACAGAATGACTTCATTCAGGGCTACCGCTCGCGCATGGAAAGTGTTGGTAAAAAATCCCACAGAGTTCAGACGACCTTTTCCTAACTTTCGTTTTTTTTTCCCCTGTTTGTCTTTCGGGTCTCAGCCAGGGATAACATAAATATTCATCAGCTGATATTTGCAGTAGCTGTGAAGTTATGAATGAGGCCATGCGGCTTCCCTCCTATCCCATCTACCAAATGGCAGCTTCTCCACTCAGCTCCCAGCCAAACGACACTTTCCAAAATCCCCAAAGTGTACTAGTAGGCTTTTCAAATTCAGTCTTTTTTTTTCTTCTTTAATGCTCAAAGCAGAAATGCTGTCTGCTTAACGTTTACCCTAGGATTATAGAAGAAGAAAAAGAAAAACATTACTTTGCCAAGCTTGAAACTTTCGGGTGCCTTGACATAACAGGCAAACGTGTTAGTAGCTCAACGTACTGGTAGCATATATATCAACAGTTATGATGGTGGCAGGTTTCCTTGTTATATTAAATACCAGACAGATACCTGAGACATGTATTGTGTGAAGAACAGGGAAAATAACCATAGCTTTGATCTGTTTCTGCTGCTTTGTTAGCCAACCTGGGCAGGTGTTGGAGAGAGATGCTGGAAAATACTTGTGAATGAAAATTTTAAATAGGTCCTTGACGTTGAGATATAAAAACGTGAAAATTGTGTCTGTCACAGAGCCTGGAATGGAGCTGGTCTTCCTGTAATCCAGATTTCCCACCAATCAGCACTTCACACTTCAGAATCTGTTGTTGTTGTTGTTGTTTAACCTTCTGGATTCTCTCACTCAAATAAAACCTAAGTTGAAGGTGAGTTGTAAATGGATACAAGGGACTATGGCAGCAAATAGTCCATCGATGAATCATCCCCCAGTGGTTAATAAATATAAATAAAACATGTTTTTATAAATATACATGTCAACGTACAATATTCTTTTTTTTTACTTTGCTTGTCAGTGTGTTGTATTCAATACCCAACATTTGGTCTGTCCTTGTCTCTATAGAAATGTTACCTACATATATGCGTTAGCTGAGTTATTCTAGAACACGAGGATCATTTTTAATAAGTGTTACTCCAAGTGCCGTACTTGGAAGAATCTTCTTGGGAATGTTCTCTATTTCTGAATTTTAAATAACAATTGCAGACCAAAATCTTCTATAATCATGGTTCTGTATTTTTCCGTATTCAGCCATCTTACCCACACCTGACAGTGGAAATAATTGTCTAAACCACCACACCATAGAGCTGAAGAGCAGGATCTCAGGTGTTCGAATAAGGACCAGATCCCAGTCTGGCGAGAATCTGACTGGAACACATACTTATGGCTGGATTCCTATTTCTGCCTTCATCCTGGAGTCTAGCCTTGCCAGGGCCAGAACAGGAGCCAGAGGCAAATGCTCAACTGTATTCTCCCTGGCTCCAGCCCTTACCAGAGTAAGACTTGATGAGGAGCTGTTGGAGGGAATCAAAGGCAATGAACTTCTGCAGGAAAAACTAGATGGTAGACAGGAATGATAGATGGTCACACTTGCCCAGAGACATTTGGGAGGCCAGATGAGTTAGAGCAGGCAGGAAAGCCTTTCCCTCTCATCCATTCCCCATATTGAGGATGCTGACCTTGAAGTAGCAGAGAGGAGAATTAGATGTTTATCTTTCTCTATGAAACTCTTTTTTTCAAAGCACATCAAATTACAATGTCAAAAAGGATTCCAACTAGTTACTCATTATTCTTATGTCATCAGGGCAGAATATAACCCGATTCGATAGTGGCCTATAAAATCTTGTGTACAAGTGATTCCGTATTTTGATTTTGGTCACAAGCAAGCAAAGGTTTTTGTTTATTTATTTATCTTCATTCTTAAAGGACCATTTACCTATTAAAAATGACTTCCTTGGGTTCTAGCCTTTCTTTCATCCCTCTGGATTCTCCAGAAACACTGCATTTTTCCCATCAATACTTCATCTGTTCAGGTACACAGCTAGGATTTTCAACAGTACAAGAGAACCTCAGATCAGTTGAGGTATATCATAATATAGTTTATATTGTTCCACCCATGGGCCCATGTAATTTATAATCCAAACTGGGAGGTTCTGGGAGTGAATGGAGTATTTGCACTGGGAGAATGAGTATAAAATTGGGACTGTTGTGGACAAACTGAAGCATATGATCACCCTGTGAAGCATAGAGTCTTCTGATTCTCTCTACTTATCTTCAGTCTTCACTTCTGTTCTCTGGATAAGGAGTTGCTTTCCTATTAGGAGATTTAGTGCCACTTTATTTGGCGGCTATACTTACTCATCCTGCATCCCCCTGAAGTTGCTTTGGGAGATGTCATCCTCTTTCTGTCTTCCCCTTGATGATTTTAATGATTTCTAAGGCATATCACATAAACAACTATGTGCTCTTCCTGCATGTAGGGCCAGTACTATCTAAAGAAAAACAGATTAGGGGCACCTGGGTGGCTCAGTTGGTTGAGCATCCGACTCTTGATTTCAGGTCAGATCATGATCTTGCAGTTCATGAGATCAAGTCCTGCATCAGGCTCTATGCTGACAGCGTGGGATTCTCTCTCTCCTTTTCCTACTGCCCCTCCCCGCTCATTCTCTCTCTCTCTCTCTCTCTCTCTCTCTCTCTCTCTCTCTCTCTTTCTCTCTCTCTCTCTTTCATCTCTCTCTCAAAATAAATAAATCAACTTAGGGAAAAAAAAAAAAGAGAAGATCAGATTATTTTCCTTTCTTCTGACAGACTACTTGGTGTATACTAGACAGCCAACTGTTGGTTCTCTACTGAAGTATGCTTAGCTCCTGATAGCAGGATCAAGATAATTAACAGCATATAAATGGCCCTTGGACTACTTTCATGGGGTCAGTGTCCACAGATGTTAGAAAAGGACACCTTAATAGAATGACAACTTCAACACATTGGTTTGTGCTCCACGATGCCAGCTGACTTCTATCTCCTCTGTGGTGAATTCCTTTTACTATTTGGCGATCTTGAAGAATCACTGTTATCTCTCTTGCTTCATGCACTTCCTTCAGCATTGTGATGTGGAAAATAAAATTGTGCCACTTCAAAGTTTATTAATTTTTTGAAATAACAATTACCTGAAGTCTACAAATATTATTTCAACTGATGAGGAGTATTCTGGCAGAGATTTGCATTAAACAAGTTCTTAAATTTCTTGCCATTACACTTTGATTTATTTTGTTATTAAAACTTTATCAGTGGGGTGCCTGGGTGGCTCAGCTGTTTGAGCGTCTGACTTCGGCTCAGGTCACGATCTCGCAGTTTGTGAGTTCCAGCCCCACATTGGGCTCTGTGCTGACAGCTCACAGCCTGGAGTCTGCTTCAGATTCTGTGTCTCCCTCTCTCTCTCTGCCCCTCTTCCACTCGCTCTCTCTCTCTCAAAAATAAATAAACATTAAAAAAAATTTTTTTAACTTTATCAGTTATCTCTAGCTCTGGGCTACTGTTAGTTGACTGACTTTGGATGAGTTGTAATCCTTCTAGGTCAATTTTCTACACTAAAAATGAAACGGCTGGATTTTTAGCATTCCACAGAATTTTAGTTCTTTATTATATATTTTTCAAAATGTTTATTTATTTATTTATTTATTTAGAGAGCACACTAGAGTGGGAGGGGCAGAGAGAGAGGAAGAGATGGAATCCCAAGCAGACTTCATGCTCTCAGCTTAGAGCCTGACATAGGGATTCATCTCACAAACCATGAGATCATGACCTGAGCCGAGATCAAGAATTCAACATTTAATCTGCTGAGCCACCCAAGTGCCCCATTTATTATATTAATTATAGACATAAACAAAGTGTTTATGGAAAATACCTGGTTTCACAAAAGTAACTAGACGTCTTTAACATAAGACTTGAGATACATTAATAGGCAGATGTGTCTTATTAAACCACAAGACTCAACTTTAAGTTTATATGATTAATTTATGAACTTCAACAATAAAGCAATCAAGAAGTTAAATTTGCAAGACTGGACACACTAGCTCTGAAATAACATGTTAAATTTCCATCAAACATTCTGTGGTCTTAAACTGACAGTATGGTTCTGGATCATTGACGCATGGTCAAGCAAACAAAGTAACACACTGCTCACAGTGGGATTCGAGGCAATCTCTGGCCTGCATCAAATTTCCCAGTTGCCAATTGATTGTGTACCCTTCAGATGTCATAAGATTAAGGTCAAATAACTCATATGATTCGTTTCTATTTTTTAATTGAAATATGACCATAAAACATTGTTAATTTGTAAAGATGTGCACAAATTTAGTGCATGCGCGCATACACACACACACACACACACACACACACACACAAAGAAAACAAAGTGCCAAGTTGAAATCGAATATCAGATTAAAAAAACAATCTTTTGAGATAAGTATGTAACAAATATTGCATGGGATAAACTTATACTACGAAAGCATTTGTTTCTAAAAGGAACACTTATTGTTTTGTTCCCAATTAAACTTCCTTACTCTGGAAACAGTAGGAATTCTTTTCTTCCCTCTTCTCTGTTCTGAGGTTCAGTGTGGCTTTATGTTCCTACTGGACCTTTTCTCTAACCATGTTTGTTTGGTCAAGGAATGCACAAGTGACCCAATTAGCATTCTGCTCTCAGATAATCTTGAATTGGAGCTGGAACAAGAGCATGAATTCTTCTTGGTAGCAGAGCCAAGAGATGTGAATCTAGTGAGCAACAGGTAGCCATATGACCCATCATCTGGAAGTTGCCTATCTGCAGTGAGAAAGCAATAAAGCCAACATTCTGAGAGAACCAAAATGAAAAAAAAAAAGCAAGAGGAGTCCTTGTTGCTTTCAAATTCCTGGACCCAAGTTTTTCAAGGCTGAACTGTACTCATGTTTTTCCTGTGGCTTGGTGTTTAACACTTCCTATGATTTAGTGAGATTTTAAAAACTCCTCCTTTTGCTGGACCTAATTCAAGTTGTGTTTTGTTTTTTTCCAATAAAGTGTCATGAGTTATAAAATCTCAATGGGACATTTTTAGGATGATTAAGCAAAAATTCATTTTCTCAGAAGGACTAAATAAATATTAATTACTCACCCTGTTTTAAGGTCCAACTATTGCATGATTGAGATATGGCACACCTACATCACCTAACTTATTTGGCTATAGAGTCATTATTCAGAGTGGATCATAGGGCTTGCCTACTAAATACATCTAATATTTGGCCACATGATCTGACATATTCCAAGCAACTCTAAAGTTCTATGACTTTGCGACATTTCAACAATTTATCAAACTCAGTTTGGTAGTTATTTATTATAAAATGTGATAAAAAATTTGAAATTATGAAATATATCCTTGAGAAAATTATACTTCTTAATTGTATAATATCTCCTGTTTAATTTCTATTTTGAAAATCAAACACAACTTCACAATAGCTATTCATGATCATAAAATACATGTAAAATCAGTATTCTTAGAATTTTCCATTACATACTTCAATTTTAAACTTCTAAATAAAATTTCACTAAGTATTTGCTATATCTGATGCCAAACACAGAATGTCAGAGTTGGTTCTAAAAAAAAATCTCTATAATATCCCCAACAAATTTTCAATGATTAATTTAACACACATTTATCAAATACAATTCCAGATAGTGTGCTGATAATATTCTACCAAAAACAAGACAGAGAGATTCTCTGCTCTCATGGACATGAAAATCTAGCTTCTAACACTATTTCCTCATGATTTTTCCTTATTGGTGTTTGTTTTGTACTTAGGACAACGTGGCATAAGTTTACCCATGTATTTACTTAATAGCATGTAAGAAAGTAAAGATTATCATGTCAACCCCAAGACTGTGGTACCTTCCATAAGCATGACTTGATGTCCAGACATCTTTACCATATTGTTTGCTTTCCCCTGAATGCACTCAGTGTGGCAAGATCTGGAAGCAATGCTACGTGAGTAGAAAGAACACGTTTGAGAGACACTGTCTATTGTTCTTGACACTGCATTTCTGTCATACTAAAGGGTTAATAAGTATTACAGTTAGTGATAATAGAACTCTGACCTCTCTGAGATGAATATTCAAAGCACCAAAGAGCAGTGCAGAAAGCGGTGTGCCATAACAGAAGGAGGTTCTGTCACAAGCCCAGAGATCTGGATGGCATCCCTTACTCCAGTATTCATCATGGCATGACCTCAATGTTCAGAGAAATATCTGATGGCATCTAGGGTCCTCTAGGAAATTAAAGGTTATGTCCACAAAATTCCACTCTCCTAATGCTTCACGCCTTTCACATAAAGCTAGTTAAAAGTTTTTTTTTTTAATAACATATTGTCTTGGTAACTGATATGTTATCATGTGATAGCCAGTAACAAGCATAATTATTCATTTTACTGAACTGCTTCAATAGCAGACAAGGTATGATTATGAGCATTTTCTAACAGGGTCCCATATTTCTCAGTTTCATTCTTAATTCTTAGTTTGGTGGAAGCAAAAATGTAAATGAGTCTATACTAGAAACAATGTTGTCTCTTATACTGGATTGGACCACTGAGAAAACATGATGTATGCTTTATTTCTGAATGAGAGTTAAAAAACTCAGAAGGGTCAGCAGCCCGTAACATAAATTGAAATTGATATGGAGAATTTGATTCTTGCATGATGCGAGTCTTCTCTTGTTGTTGCAGCTCTATCATCTCTCATTCCCCTCTATTGGGCAAGATAAAAAAATATCCCAGGACCTTGTGAACCTCATCATCAGGAAGGTTTGGATAAGCAACAAGAATGTGAACATTTATGAAAATTACTAGAGACTACATCATCTTAATTAATTCATCATATATCATTATTAATTAACTTTAAAAAATATGTGTTGCTACGTTTTTACTTACCTGAAGTCTTTGAAGCATTTTGTAAGTAGGGGTGCTAACAGAGAGGATATTTAGAGGCAGAGAGAAGCTCCTTAGAGTAGGCATCTCAAATGTAGAGGCAGTTTGGGCATGAACCTCCCATGCCCTTTTAACCATGCCCTTCCTGTGAAAGAGCCAACAAGGAGTGTCAGGCTTTCCAAAGACCTTTCTTTCTATGTTTATTTACTTACACTTGCATCAATAAAGGATGGACAAGAGGTGGCAAAAGAAGTGAAAGCCAATCAAATCATGCTGTATAAATTGTTAACAGACCTGGAATAAGATTAGCCAAGAAACATTTAGCTAAAATAAGGCTTTTGGGGGGGGTGGAATCTGTGGATTTCATTTAGATTGTGTTTACATGAAAACAAAGCATCTGGTCAATTTAGTGGAAAGTAGGCAAATTGTTTATGCAGTTGTGCAGACAAAACCACCAGTTGATCCAATGATTGCATTTTCAAAGTTATGGATTCTGGTTTTCATATACACTGCCTTGCCATAATCACAGATATTTAATAATCACATAAATTAAAACTTTTCTTCTCTTTTGCAGATTAACAGTTTACTAATGCCTGAATCTTCTAATATTTTCTTGGTTTAGAAGGTTGTTGCCTTTGTGTGTGTGTGTGTGTGTGTGTGTGTGTGTGTGTGTGTGTGTGTACGTGTGTGTGTGTGTGGTTGGAGTGCTGGAAATAGTGAATGTTAACCTTACTCAGTTAGACTATTGAAGAATATCTTAAAAGAGTTTCTTCCTGACTGCTTTTTTAGTGCATTTAAAAAATTACTCTTTAGGGAACCTGGGTGGCTCAGTTGGTTCAGCATCTGACTTCAGCTCAGGTCATGATCTCACAGTCCATGGGTTTGAGCCCTGAATCGGGCTCTGTGCCGACAGCTCAGCCTGGAGGCTGCTTCGGATTCTGTGTCTCCCTCTCTCTGTGCCTCCGTTGCTTGTGCTGTCTCTCTCAAAATAAATAAACATTAAAAAAATAATAAATAAAAAATAGAAAAATAAAAAATCACTACTTAAAACAGGAATGTTCACATTATAACACATATTAAATTATTGTTATTTAGAAATTCTCAAAAATTTAAGTCATTGCTTATTAATGTTTAAAATAAGAAGCATTGCTATAATGTTAATTAATATTGAAACCAAAACCATATTCTTGAATATGTTAAACCTATTGTCTACTATTATTCAGAAATTTTCTAAAATTCTGAGAGGTTTGCTCATTAATATTAAAACCAGATAATCTGGTATCAACAACAATAAAGGAAAATCAGAACCAAAGTGTGTTCTTGACTTTGGCAATGCTACTTGTTCATATGGCAAAGAAATTTGTGCTCCTGGATCAAGAAGATGCCAAATTTGCTTAGAGAAAGACTCCTTATTAATGCCAGTTGGCTATTTAGGATACTGGATTTTGTCTACTCTATAGGACATACTTCACTATGTCTAACAAACTTTGCTCATTCCTTTCAGATTTCCAAGACATCAGTCATTACACTACAAGGCATATATTCTTATTACTGTTATTTTTATAATAGCTTACATATATATATATATATATATATATATATATATATATAATTCCTTACAGTTTAAAAGGGAGTCACTATTCATTATTACATCTTATTGACTAGTAATATTACTATTCCACCTACAGTATGAAAGTTAACATTCAAGATTATTTTCTCAAGATATGCTCGCAAGACTTTAAAGCAAAATTCTTAGGATCTTCCCATAAACCACAACTGAAAGATTAATAAGAAAAACAAAACACAAAGCTGCTTCAGATCAAAAGAGTATTTTCCTTTAAAATAATTTAAAACAATATTACATTTATTATTACAATTGATGCCCCTGCCATATAGGTAAGAGCTACTTTAACAGTTTATTATTTAATTGGGAAAGCTGCATTGAAAAGTCCTTATATCACTTGCCCAGGGTAACAAGGTAGCAAGTTTGGTCCTGAGTCTATTAGATAAAGTTTCTTTGATGCTTCAGGTTGTTCTGAATGTCTAGATGTATTCAATCCAGTATGGAACCAATAGGCCACATGCGAATACTTAAATTTAAATTAACCAAAATTAAAGAAAGTTGAAGCATTTAATATTGGGTATATTTCAAGTGCCCAATAGCCAGCCATATGTAGCTAATGGCTATTATATTAGACAACACATATATAAAACTTTTTCATCCTCATTGAACATTCATGGAGTAGCCCTGGACTGGATAATAAGAATCTTTAAATAACTTTGTTTTAATGGAACAAATGTCCAAAAATTTAAAATAACCACTGATATTACTATTGTTATACCATTATTGGTCAAGCTAACATAAAAATAGAGGGCTGTGCTGTAAAAATATGTTAATAGTTGATATTGGTTGAGTTGGCTTTTTCACATTTAAATTAAAAATAAAACAGCATTCTAGGCATAGTTCTATTTTGTTTTGTTTTGTTTTGTTTTGTTTTGTTTTGTTTTGTTTTGTTTTGTTTTGTTTTAAAGACAGAGAGAGAGAGAGAGAGAGAGAATGGGAGAGGAGCAGAGGGAGAGGAAGAGAGAGAATCCTAAGCAGGCTCCACACTAAGTAGTGTGGAGCCTGATGCAAGGCTTGATTCCACAACCCTGGGATCATCACCTGAGCTAAAATGAAGAGTCAGATGCTCAACTGACTGAGGCAATCAGGTGTCTTGGCATAGTTCTCTTTTTAAACTGAGTCATGTGATATGTCACATTACCTCACTTGAAACTATTAAAATTCATAGATAAGGAAATAGTTTTTCAGACACCAGGCTCTGTTCTGTTCTGTTTTGTTTTCTTTTGGGAGGAGGACACAGTAAACAGCAAGGGGAAGAAAGCCAGCCCATGTCCATTTCTCCACATCAGATTCAATGCCAGGTGGCAATCCAAAATGTCTACAAAAAGCAAGTGTGATCCCAAAATATATTCATCTGTCATTCAAATGTAAAAGCATGCAGCAGAGTTTTAAGCACACACAAACTCAAGGAATATAGCTATTTTTGAAAATACAATTTCCAAAAAAAATGCAGGAAACCAAGAACACGTGAATCAAAGTCAAGAACCAGGGAATGTGGAAGCTCTGAATACTGTAGTAAGTATTAAACCCATTTCAATGAAAACTGATACATTAAAAGAAAGTTAAAGGTTGTTTTCCAGGCTCCTGAATACCCTCTCCACAGGCTTCATGCCAAAGGAGTTTCATTCACCCTGCAGCATGAGTCTGGCGGCCGTTCATTCAATGCCTTTTCTTCCTGGGCACTACCAGCTGTGAAACTTGTAACCTATTGATAAATATGTTATTTTTTTTTCCAGCTGCACCTGTACTCAATTCAACAATTTTGGAAATTATTGTTACATAGGAAGATGTTTTCTATTTTGATGGTATAAGACTAATAATATATTAAGAAAGTTGAGAGACAAGGGAGAGAAAAAGAGGATAGTAGGTATAAGAGGATAATTTCTTCATTTTTTATAGCAACAAGTTGACTGATACTGTCTACAAATGAAACATGTGTATGCCAGAACAAAAAATTACTCCAACCTGTTAAGTTTTTCATAATTTAAAAAATATGATGAACAGGCACTTTTATGCTGCATTTATTTTTTAAAAGAAGCATTTACCTTAATTTTAAGAATTCCTTTCATGGGGCGCCTGGGTGGCGCAGTCGGTTAAGCGTCCGATTTCAGCCAGGTCACGATCTCGTGGTCCGTGAGTTCGAACCCCGCGTCGGGCTCTGGGCTGATGGCTCGGAGCCTGGAGCCTGTTTCCGATTCTGTGTCTCCCTCTCTCTCTGCCCCTCCCCCATTCATGCTCTGTCTCTCTCTGTCCCCAAAATAAATAAACGTTGGGAAAAAAAAATTAAAAAAAAAAAAGAATTCCTTTCAATTTCACTTTCTCTTCTACTAAATTCAGGTACAACTAGATTGAATATTTTACTTAAACGTAAAATGTATTGTGTTGTCCTATTCTATAGAAGCCGTTTCTATCTATCCAACTGCTATTTATTATATGGGTACAACAATATCTGAAATAGTACTCACCTAACATAAGTAACAATTATCTCTACATGGTAAAATATATGATTCTTACTTCTACTCTGTTGAATTGTTTGAAATCCTTAAAGATTTTTCACCAAAAAAATATTAATTTTCCAAAATAAATAATATAAAAACAAAATACATATCAGAATTTGTTACCTTATGTCTCCTGTTAATAATTATTAATAAGACTTTCAATGCCAATTTATAATCCATGATCTGTTCTCACATAGTTCACCATGCTATGTCTTCATTTCACAGCTTTCATTCTGCTAGGTCACTCAGATCTTCAGGATCCTAATCCAGTGCTTTTGGGCAGGTTGGCCCTGACCATTTCGTGAGGTTAGTAATGAGGCTCTAGCATATAACCAGAAGCATATTACCATAAACAACTCGATCAATGAGAAGATCCCACTCTTAGAAACAGACTGAGGAGTTTGACTGTAATGGAAAACAAATCAGCTTTCAAGATGGATGATCTAACCAGAGAATAACAGCTGAGAAACCAAGTCAGAATCTCTTCCCCAGTGATGCTGAATCAAATGAACAAACAAAATCAAATTCACTGTTTGCTTGAATTCAGCCCTTGTTTTGACATTATTCAGGGAAACACAATTCTTGATTTGTAGAAGATCCTGGAAAATCTTCAGCTGAACCTATGCTCATTATCTAAAATGATATTCAGAAAAAAAAATCAGTGGAGAAACAAAGATAAACTGGATAAAAATAAACATTTCTTGTTCCCCCCAACGAACTATGGGGGAGAAAAGAAGACAGCTATTGCTCAAGTTAGATTTGGATAAAGACAGGAAATTGCATCTTTTAAAATAGATAAGATTTCCCATCACATAAACATATAATAATAGCCTTCCATCATTTGGGTTAACATTTATATTACCTAAAATAAACTCTCATCATGATGTTGTTCTATTATTGGCATGTGACAGAGTGCGTGTTGAAGCAAATGTAAGTTCAGAAAGCATCCTCTATCTTTATGTTACAAGAAACCTTCAGATTTTCCTAAACAGACAAACTTTGTTTTGTTGCTATGCAACTGACATGTAATACAGTCCATCAGACAGTAAATAGATTATGAATTTTACAATGAAAAGTCTTTTCTCCCTGTTCGAGAACAAGCCACAACTTCCTTTCATGCTGTACTAATCCACCACAACCCTCTAAAGCTGTTTCACAAATGCTAATGTTTTGGCAAGATAAATAAATGAATGAATAACACAGCAATGACACAGATGCACTTTGCAAACTGCACGCTAAGAAGCATCAATACCATTCAATTCATTCCTATAGGACCGTGAACCTGGGCTCCCCAAGCCTGGTGGAGAGAAGGAAGTTTATTTCACACCCACAATCTTCCAGGGAGCAGAATCTATGTAAGCTTAAACAAAAGAGATTCTGGGAAATTCTGCTGGCAGGCACCCATCAGCGCTACATGTCTCAGGCTTGACTCTTTACAGGGGCATAAGAGGCATTTTAGCCATGAGGGAAACATTTGTGAGGACAAGATGTTACAGGCGTTGAGAACCTATGACTCGTGGGCCAGACATGGGCCACAACCATGTTTAACATGACCTGCTCAATGTTCAAAATGTTAAATATTCACCAACATTTAAAATATTTATGTAACAACATAGATGTCTATCTCCTTTCTTGAAAAACCAGAAAATAATACTGTGCTTATATTCAGCTGGAATCGGCTTTCAGCAGAAAAACTGCAAATAACCCAACCAAGAAGCTCTAGGAGAATGGAGAGACAAATTGTGGTAGTTTCTACACTGGATGTACTACAGGGCAATAAATAGAACTAACAGCTGATATACTCAACAACACGAATGGACTTCACATACATGGTGCAAAAGAAACCAAAACAAAAAGCATACACTGTAAGGTTTCACTTATGCAAAGTTTAAGAACAGCCCACACTAATTTGTGGTGTTGGAAGTTAGCATAAGTCTACTTCCAGCAGAGCAGGTACTTTTGGGGATGATGGAAACATTCAGTATCTTGATCTGGGTGGTAGTGGTGGTGGTAAGGGTGTATATGTAAAATACATTCACCTATGCACTTAGGTTTCAACCCTCTACACACCTCACTGGAAGCACTTTCTACCTCAATAAGGAATAAGATTCAACAAAAATAATCGATTGGCTAAGGAGAAGTTGCCCTTTATAGGTGGGGCGTGGTCCACATCCAACAACTGGCTCATTACATGATGTGCCTGGCAAATCTGATTTGATGCTTCCTTCTCGACTAGATGGGCGGTTCTCAAGGTGTGCTGCCCAGAAGAGCCGTATCAGCCTCACCTGGAAGTATGTTAGAAATGCAGATTTCCAGCCCCTCCCCAGACCTGCTGCATCAGAATCTATAGGCATGAGGCCTAGCACTCTGTTTTTTTTTTTTTAACGTTTATTTATTTTTGAGACAGAGAGAGACAGAGCATGAACAGGGGAGGGGCAGAGAGAGAGGGAGACACAGAATCCGAAGCAGGCTCCAGGCTCTGAGCTGTCAGCACGGAGCCCGATGCGGGGCTCGAACTCACGGACCATGAGATCATGACCTGAGCCGAAGTCAGATGCTTAACCGACCAAGCCACCCAGGCGCCCCCCCTAGCACCCTGTTTTAATCAGTCCTCTGGGTGACTGTGGTACACTCTACAGTTTGAGAAATACTACTCTAGAGCACCATACACATTAAATTAGTGACATTCAAGGAAAGCAGGGTTGGCCTATATTCAACTATCCATTCCCTTTGACCCCTTCCCAACATATTTCAGAAAACTCAGGAACAGAAATGCCATGTGGCTTCTTCAGAGAACTTCTATCAAGTTCATGAAACAAATTCTCAGCAGGAGACATGCAACCAACATGCTCCATTTCTGTCTCAGCCATCAGATAGCTTTAGTGTTAGTATTATTACACCTGGACAGGAGACACTCTCAAAGGAAAGTAAAAATGACTTTGTATCTTCCTGGTAATGGAAATAATATATACCATAAAGGCTTCAGTGATATTATACCTCCGTAGGAAAATTGAAAGTCTACATTCAAGTAGGTAGCCTGGCTGAGGAGGTCATAAAAGTGTCCAGAAATTCAAAAATTAAGACCACGAATCCCCAGTCTCACATAAGTTGCATAAAATTTTCTTAGAATGCCATGTGTGGATCTCCATTTGCTGGGAAAGTTATCAACTTTTTATTTTCACCTCTCAGCCACATACTACGATATAGTCAAAGTAGACATTCTTTGCTGACAGCAGAGGCATTTCAAAATCAGTTGTGGGAATCAAAGAGGTGCTTATTATATGCCTATTAAGTAACATTAATCATACAGGCATTAAACAGTTACATGATATGACAATGATATTCCTTCTCTGCATTTGGAGAAAATATTGAGGGGTAACTATTCCTTTCTATCAGATTAAATGATTCTTTTTTATCAGACTAAATCAATAATTTTAGAAAGAGCTATGACATTCCATCATAGTGTTTGGGAATGGCCCAGCATTTAAAGGGAGAAAAGAGGGAGGGAGAGAGAGAGATTCGAGAATAATAAAACAAAGTGATAAAACATAACATAAAAATCGTATTTTTAGTTAGTGATTCTAACAATTGTTTCATTTACTATTTCACAGGGGTTGAACAACCAGGGAGATGGCAAAAAATTAAATTTCAAAGTTATTTTGGCTACCAAGTTTACCACTAATCTGCCAATGCCAGGTTTCAGGAACAAATTTAAAAGTCACATGACCAGGGCTTCTAGAGCGCAAGGCCAGTACAGCTGCACAGTACCTCCACACTCAGAAGGGGGCCTCACACTGGGGTTTAATGCTCTGTGGTTGTTGGATTCAAATTCTTAATAATTTTACCTTTGAGTTTGTGTCTTATAAGTAAAAGTCATTGGGACAAAGAAACGTGTTAGGGGCTTGGAGCCTAGAATCACACAATGTCCCATCTCCTGCCATCTGCCCACCTCCCCTAAATGAGTCCTTGGCAGCTGGCTCACCCACCTGTCAGTGACAGTGCCACTGTCCACCTCTGGCTGGGTCCTGGGAACAGGCATCGGAGAGTCAGAGCATATCACAGAGCAGTGTTCAGGCACCTGTGAGGGTCTACACTTGCTCTGTAAGTAACCTCATACCCAAGGAAACAGGACATTAAATAGCAAATAAAGGATACCACGACAGGTTAAGAGAAAAACTGTGGAAGGAAAGAAAGGACATTTTCCTGCTTTTTGAGCAAGGGCATCACATTTTCATCTGGCATAATCCTCATAAATTATGCAACTGGCCCCGCTTATGACTCTAAGTGGAAAAGAAGCAAAAGAATAAAGAAGAGCTAGAAGGTATAAGAGAATTAGTGGGGGAACAGGGCAGTTACTAGGGTTCAGAGATTAAATGGTTGAGTTTCATCTTGTTATGAATAGACCAGATACACACTTTGCAAAAATGCTTTATTTTTTTCTGATTAAGAAGATATATATATATATATATATATATGTGTGTATATATATGTATACATATATATATATATATATATGTGTGTGTGTGTGTGTGTGTGTCATAAAATATTCAGATACCTGCAGGCACTAAAGATGTGAACAGAAATCTACATTCAAAGAAGTAGCATAAGTCAGGGTGTTAAAAAGTATCCAGAAAGTCACATATTCCCACCAGCTCGACCCAATTCTATCAAGGGCTACCTCCTCCGTGTTGGGAATCTAAATCTCCTGTTTCTCCTGGCATGGTCCAACCTTTTGAACCTGAGCTTACAACTTAAGAACCCGGCTTAAGGATATCTAAACACAATGCAAATTAATAAACAGTGAGATCATGATCTTTTTACCTCAGTGGTAGCTACCTCCAATTTTACCAAAGGATATCTTTTGTTTTTCAGCACTTTAGCCTGCCAGGGGATGACGTTGTCTAAGCACATTTTCAATGTTTTCTTTTTAACAGTTAATATATTTCCAGGATGCAAGTCCATTTCTTTCTAAAAGGTTCCTAGGACACCCATTGAAAAGTCAAAAGCAATGAGCTCAAAGGGATTGCTATTTTGTTGGAGAAGAACGACACCCTTTGTATTGAAGTGGGGATTGCAGACTGTGGTCACCCTCTGCACAGTGTCTCTTTGTCAAGTAATACATGCCGGAAAAAAAAAAATAATACAGATGGGAAAATATTGTGCACTGTCAGATCTTGGAAACGGCCAAAGGATTTTTCCTCACCAATGTCTTGTCGATGACTTTCACGTTCTGGCACCCTGAGAAAATAATGCATACATTTAATATGACATGAATGCAATAATAATCAGGCAGGTAATTGTTTTCCCAAGGAATGTAAAACTTGACAAATGTAAGGTTTATGATTCAAGGTAGGCTTGCCAAATCTTATGTGGCACGAGACCATTTTTATTACCTAAACAGTCCTTAACACAAAATGACTGGCACATATTTTTATTAACACAAAGAGTATATTCTTTCTGCCACATTTAATAGAGAGTCAGTGGCTGAAAGCTCTCTTTTAGGATATGTCTGCAGCAAATTAAAATGCAGAGTGAGGATTCACAGAATGGCATGCTGCTCACTGAGGCTGTGTCCACACAGGCTCAGCGCAGTAGGAGTAGACCATTGATCTCAGGAATTCTATCCATGAGGACAATCTGGGTGACATGGATCACAGAAAAGGAAACTCTCATTTACCTTTGGAAGTTGATCATTGGACTCAATGTCATTCTTTGCATCTCAAGGTCCATTCTGAGTCAGATTCAAAACAGCCACTAGTAATAAGGTGATTTTTTTTATTTTTTTACTTATTTCTTCAGCAAATATTATTTAAGTGCCAGGAGCTGCTCTAAACACTGGGGATGCTGAATTGAATACAACAAAGATCCCTGCCTCATGCTTCTTGTATTCTACAGAGCTAAAGATAATACATGATGCAAATAATTTAAAAAGTAAATGAAACGATAGATGGTTTCTAGAAGGTGATAGGTGCTGTGGGAGAAGAATGAAATAGTAACAGGGAAAGAAAACTGGAAGCTGAGCAGGTGGGTGGAGGATGGACTGCCATTTTACATAGGGTGGTCAGGATGTTGAGAAAAGGTGATCTAAGTTATGACTTGAAGGACGTGAGGCAGTTAGCCATGTAGACACCCGGGAACAGCATCTGGAAAGATGGAATGGTCACTGCAAAGGCCTTAAGGCTGAAACATGTCTGACATAGGGAACAGCAGGAGGTAAATGTGGCCTGGGCAGAATAAGCAAGGGTGACAGCAGGAGTTGAGGTCAGAGGGGTGACAGAGGTCAAGCTACATAAAGGTCTTGTAGACCATTGTAAGGATTTTGGCATTTACACTGAGTAAATAAACCAAGAGCCATTGGGGGGTCCTTATCAGAACAGTGGCATGATCTGAATTAATGTGTAAAGAGGTCACTCTGACTGCTGTGATCAGGGTGGGAGGGTGAGGTAGGCAAGGACAGACAGACAGACTGACCTGCAATATCAAGGGGAGAGAGGGACTGATTAGAAAGAAACACAGAGGAACTCTTGTAATAGCGAGTGAGGTTAGGTTCTGACAACATTTTGCAGATAGAGGTCCTGTGGATGTGAGGGTGTGAGGGAAATGAGGAGTCAAAAATAACTCAAGGTTTTTGAAACAGTGGTATTAACATAAACTGAGATCGGAGAGTCTGCAGGTGGAGTAGTTTCAATAGGAAAAGTTTGTGGTTTCATTTGGGACAGGTAGAGTTTGAGATGCCACTTAGACATCCCAGTGAAGGTGTTGACTAGCCAGTTAGATTTTTTGTTCACGTGTTATGAGATAAGGAAGAGTATAGTGTAGGCTTCACCCTTCAGGTACTCACATTCGCCAACATATCCCTGGTGAGACTGTCAAAGATAGAGGCTTAGCGACTGTTGCTGTCTGTGTACACTGAGCACTTCCTCTGTTCAGAGGATTCTGCACTAGAGATGTAAACATGGAGCCAACTTCAAATTTAATTACAGCCCAAATGATTCCATCTTCTTCCCCCTCAAGTTTACTTCTGTCCACCAAGGAGCCTGGCCTAAAGCCCATAAGAAGAAAAGAAAGTTGAAAAGGAGAATGGCCAGTCTTACCACTCAGAGCCATGGCCAATCGGAATTCTTCCTTTAGGATTTCAAGGATGTCTTGAACACCTTTCTCTCCCTAAGCAAGTAAAAAGATACAGATCTTTGGGGTAAGTCAGTCTGACTTAATTCATGCATTTATGTCACTGTAGTTCTGTTTTATGTATTTATTTCTTCATCCTCCAATTACCTGGGACGCCAAGCCCCAAATGATTGGCCTCCCCACAAACACAGCCTTGGCTCCCAGGGCTAGAGCTTTCAGGACATCGGTGCCTTTCCGAACACCCCCATCCAGGAAGACTTCCACCTTCCCTTCCACAGCCTCCACGATTTCTGGCAAGGCATCAATCTGTAGGGAGAAGTGGTCAATAATGTGACGGTATGCATGTTAAATTGTTACCAAACTCAGTCTCCACAGCCATTGACCATCTGACAGGATTTAGTGTTAAAGAAGCTAAGCAGGTTTGGAATCAACACTAAAATTTTTCCCTCCTGAAAGAGTAGGGTGCCAATGTTAGTAAGTAAAAACCAACTAAATTTTCAGTTGAGTGGCTTATTTTTATTTCAAAATTGAGCTTTTTTCAATTTTTTTCAAATTTAAAGACCATGATTTAATAAAATATAAGCATAATTTTAATACATGTAATGACCTTTTATAGCTATGCTTTATAAAATGTATAAAAACAAATGAAATCCTGCTCATGTAAATTATTCTGTATATTATTTACCTGTTGAAAAACAATTGTTAAAATTAATACTTAATTGTCCGTGGAAGCAGTGGTACTTAAAAATGCAAGCAGGGCTACTAATGAAAAACCTAGTCTCTGATTTCTTCATCCAATATATTTTGCATCTAGCCATCTATTAGGGAAATCTCCATGAAAATATTTTTCTTGCTTTATTTTTTGTTTGTTTGTTTGTTTATTAATTTATTTTATTATTATTTTCTAATGCTTATTTATTTTTGAGAGAGAAAGAGAGATAGAGTGCAAGTGGGGGAGGGGCACAGAGAGAGGGAGACAGAATCCCAAGCAAGCTCCAGGCTCCGAGCTGTCAGCACAGAGCCCAACACGGGGCTCGAACTCATGAACCGTGAGATCATGACCTGAGCCGAAGTCGGACACTTAACCAACAGAGCCACCCAGTGCCCTTCTTTGCTTTAAAAGGACCAAGACCACATGCACCTTGAAGGTCCTCATCTGGATTGGCAATTGATGATGGACTTATATCAGCACCAAAGAACACAAGAGACTCATAGAGGTTGATCTGGTAGATGGCAATATTGTTCCTGATCCTTCACATCACTCTGAAACCACTCCATTTCCAAGGTAACTTTGCAGTGTTTCCTTCTAAAGGAAACAGAGTGCACTTGCCTGCTCCTTGACATTGGCCTTGGCCTTGCAACTTACTTTGGCCAATAACATGTGAGCAGAGGTGGCAGAGTGCCATTCCTGGACATAGACCTTAAACGACCTCATACATTTCAACTTTCTCTGGCACATGTGCCACTTGCCATGAGAGGAGAACCTCCTGGGCAATGCTTTGCCTTTCCTGGGGCCCCAGAATAGATATTCAGGAATTCAGGAAGCAAAGCTAGCCCAGCTAAGCCCAGCTGGACATGAAATTTGGAGCACAGCCACCTAACCAGTACCAAGTCCAGATCAGCGGCCTGCCCCCGCCCCCTTCCAGTTGACACAAAGTTTTCATGGGAATAAATGACTGCAGATTTAAGTCGCTGAGTCTGGAATCTGTTGTCTCATAGTATTATGTGGTAATAGCTAATACAGTTGGCTAATAGCCAATATAGTTAGTAGCTAATAGCTGATACAGTTGTCTATTTTTATGTAAATCTTCGCACTTGAGAATGCAAACAATTCACAAGGTGACCTGTAGGCCAAAATCTGTAGAAATAACCCACATTTATTCCAAAATATTTAAGTATAAAATTAAGCCCAATCCACATCTAAAATGTATGCTGAAGAAGCTACCATGTGTTCGAGCGCAGTTTTCCTAGACATAATTGTACTGAAATCACTCAAAGCCTTTCCCACTTTCCCCCGAAATTTTAGAGGCTAAACTTAAATAGAGTTTTATGTAAAGGGCTGAAGACCAAACCCGGCTACACATTTGGAGGAAGTGAAGGCAACTTTTGGCATGCAGCCCCTAAGTGTTTGGCAGGTAATGTGATTTTCCCCTTTTCCTTTTGGCTTTTCTGCCTTGCCAAACATGCTTTGGATCCATTTACATATGCCCCTTTACCTATACATAGTCCTCCTTTTACAGTCAGGCAAGTTACATCAACATATAAATGCTACAATTTCCAAGAGATGATGCAAGCTATAATTAAGCGTATTTCCCCATTTGAAACCAAAACCAAAGAAAAATATTAGCTAGCTTGGGTTCAATACACATTTTCAAAGTCACGCAAATCAAGTCTGTTTACGTTATTTCCAATGCCCAACCTGGCCTAAAAGGAAACTAATAAGGATACTTAAAATGTGAATTCTGGGCTGTATAACGGAACCCAGATTGGTGTTTTGTGTGTCTGTGGACAAGGATGTTCTATCCACTGCTGAGTTTTTCTGTCTTCCCCCTTTTTTCTTTCAGTGGCTACAGTTCTGCTGGGTATATATTTCAGAGAATAATTCTGATCAGAGGAGATTAAATAAATAAATATAGTAGACAAATCCACTATTTTATGACTGTTATGTTTCCTTTTTTCAGCTTATTACACATCTCAGAGACCATTCATTTTGGCTTTTCTTTCCTTAGTGGTTCTTTAGACAACTAATTGTGGGCTCACCTCTGGTGGGATTAATCTAAGGGAAAATGTGGTAAAATCCCAATATACTTGCTAACTCATCCATCCATTCACTGGCTTACTAAACACTTTATTGAGGACCTGCTTTATTCAAACCAATATGCAGATGGTCTAAGGGAGCCAAAAAGAATCCCACAGGGTTGTGACTCGCAATGAAACTTTTTCCCATTCTTGCCGACGTCACACTTTTCCAGGATGTTCCCTGTCCCACAAAACTTCTACTCACAGGGAGCTCTCACCTTTCTATCTTCCCACAGCATCCATCAATATACTCCTGATGGCTGACGTTTGGGGCATGGAACCCTTTAAAGGTCTCAAACCAAAGCAATTGAACACAGACAAAGCATATAAAATCAGAGCTGATTTAGTTAAAAGCAAAAGAGCCAGAGTTCACATTACTGTCTGGAAATATTCCTCTGACCCTTTACCCCACTCTACTCATCATACATCATACCAGGAAGCCCTGGGTGGGATTTCTACTAAGCGTGTTTAGGAAATCACTGGTTCCTATAGGCTTAACTATTTACTATCGCAAGAATGCCTGCAATTATTTTCCTCCCTAACTTCATTTCCTTGCAATGTGACATTTCGATGGAATGTAGAGAGAATAGAATAGAGAGAAGCTACAATGTGCCTATTCTAAGCTTCAGTCTGAAGAGGCCTTACATGTCTGTAATTACCCTCTAGGAAACCTGCCATCTTGTGAGAACCAACCTACCTAATGCGAGACAATGCAGAGCTGTCCCTACTGAGGCCACCCCACCCCAGCCTGTCCTAGTCAACCCAGCAGCTGACCACGTGCATATGAGTGAGCCCAGCCGAGACCAGAAAAACCTCCTAGCCAATCTCAGCCCAAATTTCCAACTCACAAAATTGTGACATGAAGGAACATGAAGGAATTTTGGCCAGTAACTTTCCAAGTGGTTTGTTACATGGCAAAGGCTAACTGATACATCAGTGTGTATCTCAAAGGTAGAATTACATGGATCCCTTTTTAAAAAAAAAAAAAAATATCTTGGATCTCATAGAACGTGCTCAAGGACTCAATTTTGGAAACACTTGACTTAACAACCCAAATATTATTTTATGAAAATTTTTTGTAGATGAACATTTTCACAAGAAAAGAGTGTTATATATATATATATATATATATATATATATATATATATATATATGGAGCCCAACTCAGGGCTTGATCTCCCAGCTGTGAGATTAAGACCTGAGCTGAAATCAAGTGTTGGACTCTCAACCAACCAAGCCACATAGGCGACCCAAGAATATTTTTAAGCTTAAGGTAGTTTAGGTCCAGTTGGCATCAAAACAAAAATGAAAAATTGAAAAAAATGCTTCTAGAATTCAAAGACTCCAGAGAATCTGTTCTTGGACCCCAGTTTGAGATATTCCAGTACAATGGGTTTTGAAAATTGATTTGATGCTGTCATTTTGATCTCTAATTACTTCAAAAGGAAGAACAATTTTTTTTTCTTTCTTTTCTTTTCTTTTTTTTTTTTTTTTTTTTTTTTTTGAGTGAGCTCTACAGCCAATGTATGGCTTGAATTAATGACCACAAGATCAAGAGTCACATTGTCTATCAACTGAGCCAGCCAGGTGCCCCTCTTCAAGAGTGATGTTGGCCACATTATTACCTTGAGTGTAAGGACATTGGCCTAAACTTAATTTGTAACTATTTGCTCTTCATCTCAAAACCTACACACTGAGGGAAAAACATCTTCAGTGTAAACTGAATCTAATCTCACATTTCTCTCACCACCATGGGCCTTAAATTTGCTCTAAAGTATGAGGCAAAAGTCAAGCAAGCATCTCCTCTCTTGCACACAGCATGTGAAGGGGAGTGTCATTGTTTTTTTTAAAAGTCTCAGAGACCACAGCTCAAAAAGCCCTTTTAGATAAGTTTCCATATCCCCTCAGCCAGAGGGAAATAAACCACACCATTTAGATATTTTCCCCTTAAAATCTAGTTAGATTTGATTTCAGTAGATTTAGATTTTATTTTTAGAAAACAAACTTAATTTGGCCTGCACACTAAGTCTATGTCTTCATACACAAGAGAGGCATAAATCTGCAAAAGAGCCTTGAGCTGTGACCAGCTTCTCCTCCCTGCCCAGAGGGGGTCTTCATTCTCCACCTCCCTTTCCCTGCAGGCAACATTTAAGAAGACTGGTCTCTATAAGTAAAGCTGAATTAGAAAGGACTGAAAACTTCCAGTTTTGTGATTTGATTCTTGACTCTGTGATCCTACAGTGTGCAAAGATGAGTTCATTCCTACCATTGATGCTTTAGGAAAACTGGAGTCCAAACATGGACGACATCCAGTATTCCCCGGTCATCATTTAGTCTGTCCCAAGACCCACACAACTAGTCTATGGACTTATCTAAATCTACCTGATAGTTCAATGAAGAGTAATCCATTACTACTTAACTAAATTATTTCTCCTGCTGTACTTCCAGTTGTTTGAGTAAATTCACTGGTCATCCTAATTAAAGCCATCCATATGCTAACCATGACTGAGTGATTTTGATAACAGGGGTCTAATGCTTTTGGCTCTCTTGGGGCTAACTGCTCTCCTTCACAGTTTTAACTCAGTCCCACAGCTTTCAAGCCAATTTGGATTACTTTATTTATTTATTTATTTATTTATTTATTTATTTATTTATTTAAGAAAGAGGGCACAAGTGAGTAATGGGCAGAGAAAGAGGGAGAGAGAATCCCATGAGGGACAGAGAGAGATAGAGGGAGAGAGAGAAGTGGGGCTCACCCAAAGCAGGGCTCGTGTTCACCCAAACAGGGTTCGTGTTCTTCTGAAGTGGGGTTCAAACTCAGGAATCCGTGAGATCATGACCTGAGCCAAAGTCAGATGCTTAACAACTGAACCACCCCAGGCTCCCTGGTTTACTTTATGTCTACATTCTGGATTCTGATTTGCCTGGCACAGTTTGTACAGTGTATTAAAAAAATCATAGATGCATACTGGAATCTCGTGGGTAGCTTTAAAAAATACTGGTGCCTATGCCCCCTGTCCCCAGATATTCTGATAAATTGATGTATTATGCAGCTTGTGCATCAGGAGTCTTTGAAGTTCCCCAGGTGATTTTAATATGCAGCCAAGGTCATGCACAGCTCAAGCAAAGTAGCCCATTTGCAGCTGACCTCCTCTCACCTGGGCTGTAGAATTTCTATTCCTTTCCCTACCCACCCAACCTCTCTTTGTAGCTGTTCAACTCCCACAGTCACAGGAAATTTCAGTCTTTCCTTCCTCCTGACCTCTTATACCAATGATCTCAAACTCCACCCAAGTCTTTTATAATTACAATGGATCTGTTAGCTCCTCTTAACTCTCAAGACATAACCATTTCTCTTATACTCTAATTTACATTATATCTCTCAGTGTACCTATGAATACAAGGATAATCCCTGCCCACAAATGACTTATTTTTTAATGATGACTTTTAAAAGTTTACAAATAACTGTACTGGACTAATTAATGATCAAATTTAGGTAGTTCTATGCCACTACACTTAAAATCAAAGATCTCATATATTCACACATATTTTACCTTGAGTATTCACACACACACACAATACACAGGGTAGAGGTAAATACAGAGATACCCCAAACTGTGATAGAAATGAAAACTCCAAAGGGAAATCTCAGCATTTGCTGAAACTCACGGTGGCTGGCACCCCATCAAGTTGTCGAGCCCCGTGATTCGACACCAAGATCCCATCCAAACCATGTTTAACTGCCTCCCTGGCATCATCACCTAGAAAGAGAAAGACAGCCATTGTATATGAAAAGGCAATTTAACAGAAGACATGGGTTTAGAAATTGAAAGGTCCCAGTCAAAGGGAGGCTGACCTCATACCTTGCTCAGAATCTTTAGCATAGGAATACACCAAGGGTTAGGTCTAGAATAGTAATGATAGTTTCCTTGACCAAAGTGTTAGCATTGACAACAGTTTAATGATGGCATAAAATTTTCAGTAGATAGCAAATTGATATGCAGTTAAAATTTATTTAGTCTCACAAGGAAGTACTCCTACTAAGCATTTTTATTATTATTAATGAGATAATACCATTTAGTGTTTAGCAGAATTACCCCTTTGCAATTTGCATAGCATAAAAGAATACATCAGTGGAAAGCACCTTAAGTGTAACAGGAAAGGAACAAATCTATTCCAAAAACATTCTTTAATACAAAGTTATGTCTTCAATAATTATCATAAGTTGTATTGTTCTATAATTAAATGTATTTCACCCATTGAAGTATATGAAAATGTACAAAAATTAAAATTATATGCTATGTCTCTAATCATGCTTCAAAATATATCAACTTCTGAAAATATAGTTTTAAAATAGATTAACATTCTCTCAAATCAATTCCCAGCACACTTTTTACATTTTATATTTCAAACTATTGTTTTCAGCATGCTCACAATAAAAACACATTTGCTAACAGAATCAGGCAAATGACACTGATACTCAAATTTAACACTCAGAAATAGTTGGCCTAAGATTGTAGTGAAAAGCATATTTAGGAAATGTAACCAAATGGATACCAAACATTGTATACATTCATAAATCCAGCAATGGAGATCAAGGGCAGACCTGACCAAGAATAATGAAAAAAGATTCATAAGAGAATCTGTAATTCTGACCTTTTTTAAACTGTATGCTAAACCATCATTTTCGAACCTGTGTTTTATTGAGTGCTAGTTTTTAAGTATATCCATTTAAATAAATGATGCTAGTATTATTTCTCTTCTAAAACTACATGTACATGAAAATGTTAAACTCATGGTTCATGGACTGAATGTTTGAATCCCTCCAAAGTCTGTATGTTGAAACCTTAACCTCCAACGTGATAGTATCCAGAGATGGTGCTTTTGGAAAGTGATTAAAGTTAGATGAGTTCATGAGAGTGGGGCTTTCATGAGGGTATTGGTGCCCTTATAAGAAAAGATCAGAGAACTTACTTGCCCACCCAGTCTCCACTCATAACAATGAACACGTCATGTGAGCGCACAGCGCAACTTGACTGTTAACTAGGGGCTACTGGACTGTGAGCTCCTTAAGTGTCAGAGCCGAGAACAGCATCATGTCATATTGTCAATGTTTTCCACCCATAGGTTGTTCCAGCCATTCATTCATTTCTTTAGAAAGGATGGAGCTACCACGTCAAGTGGCCCATTGTTGCACAAGCGATGAGGGAGGACAGGATGGCTGGCTTCTGTAAGAGCTTCACAAGCAGAACTCTCATGAATCTCCTGGCTTTCTTCTCCACTTCTCATCTTCCATCTCTGTCACACTTGCAAACTAGACCCTGGGTGCCTCTCAGACAATCATTACAGAATCTCCTGTCTCCTCCAGGGCTTCCTCTGGGCCTATCATGAGGGGGAGTTTTCTTTGCATTTCCTCCTATAAACACGTTCCCTTACATTTTGTGTCTCTCATAAATCTCTTGAAGTTTCTCTGTTGTGTGTGTCCCTTATCTTTCATTCCTCTGCTGTCATAAGACTTATGCAGTTTTGTATGTCTCTACTTTATTTTCAGTGGCTTAATGGGTTTGATGAGAGGGTACATATCTACTCAGTCCATTATTTGGAACCAGAAACCCAATATATTATCATTTAAACTCTGTTTGGGTAAATGGTTCTTTAAAGATATGGCCTTAATACAATGTAAAGTGTATGTGGAATTGGGGAGGTTTGCTTTGGTTATCTAATTGTGTGCATGATACCAAACATCAAAAGTAAAAAAAAAGAAAAAAAATCAAAATACATGTAGTTACAACCTATGTTCTCAGAAACTGAATATTATCAGCAAACCGATCCTATACAATATGAAAAAAAAAATGATTAACTTCTTAGGGTTAGTAGTTAGACCACCTGAATTTGAATTTGGATCTGCTACTTGCCTGCTACATAAACGGCAAGCTTCTTAACCTCTCTGTGCATCAGGGTCCCTAAGTCATAAAATAGGGATAGTAATTCACATAAGATTGGCTTGTGAATTAAAGTAGTTGAATGAGTGTTTAGAAAGTGCCTGACACATGTTGAGCACTCAGATAAATATTAACTGTTACTATTAATTTCATCTGATGGTGCAGGAAGTATAAACTCAGATGAGTAAGTGGAGGAAAATTCGTTTGCTGGATGCCTTTGGCAAGTCTGATTGAGTTTTGTTTATAACAATAAATTTTCATCCTGGTCAGGATTATGATTATAAAGAGCCTTTCATTTGAAGTAAGCACTGCTTAAGTAACAGTTTGTTATCTCCTATCATTTCAAGTGGTTTTCCAGGTTCTTCTAGGAAGTGCTGGGAATGTAGGGGGAAATGATAGAATGGTTTACTCAGAAGATAAGATCCTGATATCTGGAGAAGCAAAGTAAGAATAATTTATGACCAGATATGAACCCCTTTCATTAACTGCTTATGAAGCCTTGTCCAAAGTTTCACATTTTATTTTAATCCAGAGAGAAAAACAATGTTGCCTTAATAGGAGGGTGAAAATGTTCTGGCTTTGCAAAAAGTTCATGAATTTTTGGTATTTTCATTAATCCTTAACGTTTACTGCTATGGCATTCCACGTATGTTAATTTGCCAGTTAATACATTAATTGATTGACAAATGCAATAGTCAATGGGGAATAGCACTGTTTGCTATCTTCTTGATATATTATTTTTATATTTAATTAAGTACTCAAGATTTACCCTCAAGCCCATGGAGTTTTTGACTCAGGACTCTGCTATCTCATAGGAATTTAGTAACTAAATCCTAGTTGCATGGCAGCAGTTTTGAGCACAATCTAGAAACTCTGAATAGCTTTGAGAGTGTTGTAAAAAAATGTGTATAAGAAAAGAGCTAGTTACAGTTTTGAGAAACAAAAAAGCCACTATGGAAATATCACAGAAGAGTTTAATTTTTTTTTTTAATTTTAAAACTACTCTGAAAAGCATTATGCCTTTGCTCATAAAGCCATTTGTTTATTAGCATGAGTTTTGGTGAAGACCAAATCCTGTCTCAAATACATGTTTAGAGTTTGTGTTGAAGTTTTCCAAGGGCAGAGTTTAACCACAGCAAGAGATTACATCTTGCACTTCAATTTGCGTTCATCAAGATGCAATTCTTAAAATGGTGGTAAGGGGGGGAATTTTCACCGAGATCTTTCCAGCATATGTGAATTCATGCTCCCGCAAACATCATCTATACCTTTTCATCAAAAGAAAACGAAAGAGGATGGGTGATGCTCAGTCTATCCATGTGACTTCTGGAAGAAGATCTGTGAAACAGAATTGGATTTCCCAGAACTGCCCCCTTCACCCGCCCCCATCAAGATTGAGCTTTTGCACTACTTGATGCAGTTGTTGTCATGGAGACAATTCTTGTTTGTTAAATAAATGAAACAAATAGTCACAGAGAAACTAGACAATGTAAACTGTACATTTGTAAATAAGCTATTTCCTTTCAAATGCCAAATGCTCCATCTCTCTTTCTCTTCCTTTTTGAGGTCTCTCTAATTATATAGACTCATAGTTTTCACTGAGGATTTTAGCCAATAAACATTTGGGCTATCTACTATGTGTAAAACATCATGAAATATGAAATATGTGGAAAGAAATGAAATGATTCACATGGATGAGAATAAAAGAGAAGTGACGGTGAGGGTGGTGGTCCTAGGTAAGATGACCACAGAAGGAAGTCCTAGAAGCCAGAGTATTTTTCAACATAACACATGATAGTAAAGTCTAATTAAATAGACACACATCATATCCTAGAGGACAGAGTTGGAGAAAATGATATATATTGGGAATCCTAAATTGAAAAGCTTGTTTAAAATGTAAATAACCTCATTCTTATATATGTTCTCTATTAGACAAATATGGGACTATACTAAGACTTCATTCTTCTTTGTGTTTTAAGCCCTTTGCCCTGGGCCACACTTGTGATGAGAATGAATTAAATACTTGGAACTACATTAATTTTCTCATTCAATTCCACCTTCTCAGTTTCCTGAGGTCAGCCACAATCATCTCTTGCCCAGGCAACAAGTTTCTTAAGTGTCCCCCTCACCACAATTTTGCCACCTCCATCCATCAGGTCCATGAAACAATGCTGGATTTTTCTAAGATACTAATCTGATGAGGTTGCTTCCCTGATTAAGAATCTCAGTGGTTCTCAAATATGTTTTATAAATTGTTACTCAGAACTGTTTTATTTTGCTATTATTTCAGTCTGAGTCTTTTGATATTGTGGCAAAACTCAAACATTATCTGTCATTCTAAAATGAAACTCCCTAACCTGCTTTTATAAGTGTCCATGCCCTATTTGAAACCCCACCCTAATACCGCATAGATTTCTATCTCAGCACTTGTAACATCTTATTGTTCCCAAATTCTTGTTTTTATGTCTGTCTCCTACAAGAATGGGCTCTCCTCTTGGCCAAAGACCTCAAATTACTATCATTTTTAACTTCAGCACACAATAATCATGATGCATATTTACAAAATGAATGCCTTCGTGAGTAACTGAATAGATGCATGAATGAATGGGGCAGAACCTTTGGGTTAATATTCTATAGTATCTACAGTTGAATGTAGGTATAGGAAGTAGTGCTAACAATCATGGATGACAACACGTATGCCAGTTAAGTAAGTGAAACTGTTGTTTAAAGATGTCTATAACACTAGGAAGTATTCTTTGAAGTGGAATCCACAGAAATTTTGAACTAGTACAATGATCAACAGGAAAGAATGTAACAATATTTTTGAAAAGCACAAATGAAGATAGGTCTGGATTCAAATGTATTTCCACTATTTAAAAGCTTTGTTGGACCTATTCTTTTACTTTTATTAACTTTATTTCTGCACACTTAAGATTAAATAGATAAAGCCAAGGGCAGGTCTACAGCTTTATAAATAGGGGCCATGTGACTCACATATTCAAGTAAATCTGATGATAATGTTTTGATTAGAAGTTGTTGAAAAAAAAAAAAAGAAGTTGTTGTTGTTGACCCTGAGATAAGTTAATAGAATATCTCATCTCAGAGCCACTTACTTAAACATTCACATTTAAATAATAAGGTTTTGGCAGTTTTCTATATAATTAACTAAAAAAAAAATGTTTTCAAAGGCAGGAAAACATTTCCGTGGGAGAATACATTTATACTTATACTCCAAATTATCCAAGTCATTGGTACTTCCCTGTGGGATTTGAATACATGTAGATACTGGAGAAGCAGTCCGTTTTCTTAATAATCATGGCTTGATATTTGAGGATTTTAATGTTGTAGTCAACCATTCTTCATGTGGGATTCACCACACTCAAAAATCAGTCCTAGTCATTGGTACTTGCAAGGAATAGAGAAAAATAGAAAAGGCTCTTGAAAGAGGTCTGGCTGTCATAATATCATCCTTGGGTTTCTTCTTGGTCTAGAAGTAGCTTGTTGTAGCTTTTAGCCAAAACAATGAACTCAAGATGTTTTGCCTAGACCTTGTCAAGCTCCATGATTTAGTGATGGCTCCAAGATAAGGCAACAGAAACCCAACATTTTAAAAAAGGTTAACTTCTTACTTCATGAGAGACAAGGTCTTCAGTGTATTACCTAAGAATGAGGAAATATTTACTCACAAACATCAATATGGAGAATTGAGAGATGGAATGTCTCCTTAGATATCCACATTAATTTTTCCTGGTTATTTTCTCTTAAAAATATCATGATCATATCTACAAAGAATCATGAGAACAGTATGAGAAAAACACAAACCTCTCAAAATGCCTTTTGCAACAATTGGCAGTGATGTCAGCCCCCTCAGCCATTTAATATCCTCCCAGCTGATGGATGGGTCTATTGCTTTAGATACGTATGTAGCAAGTCCACTGTTGTCTCCAAAATTTTCCTTTGGAGAAAATGCTAAATCATTGGTTTCAAAATTTTTCATTCTGAAATAAAGATACATAAAATGAGAATTTCCCAGAGTTAGAGATAATTTTACAAAGACTCATTCAATGAAAAATGAAATGTCAGCCTTTCAAATCAATTAGATGTTCTTCAACCATCTATAGGTTGCTTGCATGCATATTTCCCATGTTTTGAGGTAAGATTCCAGACTAAGTGTGACAAACATTATAGACTCTTTCTCCTGCCCTCCTATTATGTTGTTGGTGGTGATGGTGGACACAGGGAGTGGTGGGAAGTGTTTCCCAGCATGTGGGTTCTCAGCTCTTGCCTTTTCCTCCTCCATTTAGTTGTTTCCTCTGAGGCTGTCTGCCTACCAACTCAAATTTACCAATCTTTCAGACAATCCTGGCAGGGCATGAGCTTTCCAATTACCAAGATCTTCATTTCTTTGCCTGTGGTACGACCACTAATTTATGTGCCAATTTGATTGGGCTAAAGGATACCTAGATAGCTGGTAAAATGTTATTTCTGGGTGTGTCTGTGTGGATGTTTCTGGGTGAGATTAGCACTTAAATCAGTAGACTGAGCAAAGATGATAACTCTCATCTCATCGATGTGGGTGGGCATCATCCAATCTGTTCAGGTCCTGAATACAACAAAAAAGTGGAAGAAGGACAAATGTGTTCTCTGTGCTTGAGCTGGAACATCCATCATCTCCTACCCTTGGACGTTGAAACATCTGGTTGTCAAGCCTTCAGATTTGGACCAGAACTTACACTATCATCCCCTAATTCTTGGGCCTTTAGATTCACATTGGGACTTACACCATTGGCTCCCCTCGTTCTCAGGTCTTCTGGTTTGGACTGGAAGTATACCAGTCTATGAGCTGCCAGCTCATAGACAGCAGATTGTGGGACTTTTCAGACTCCATAATGATGTGAGTGGATCCCTCATAATGTGTGTGTGTGTGTGTGTGTGTGTGTGTGTGTGTGTGTGTCCGTCCTACTGATTTTGCTTCTCTGGAGAATCTAATACATGTGACTTTCTCCTGCTCCTGAAGCCCTAGTAACCACACACACAGGAGATCTGAAGTGTCAGGAATGTTGGCATATAAATACCCCAGCTCCTTCACCCCTAAGCAGGCTAAACCTGAGATAGGTTCTACATATCCCAGAATTTCCAATCAGGATTGAGCTTCAGTTGCCTGCAGTTGGAGTTGTCTTGGTAACAGGCCCTTTGTTCATTGCCTCCTTTCCCTGACACCACTTCCCCACTCAGTATTCACTTCATCTTCCAAAGAAACTATTTGCATTTAAATCACTGGCTCACAGTCTCCTCCTAGGGAAACCCAAATTGACACACAACCTCACTGAGTTGCTGCCTCTCCCTGTGTCTAATTTTATTGAACCAATTTAGACCAGGATTTCTCTGACATACTGGTAAGACTCTGCTACTGGCTCATTCTATACCTGAAGTCTTTTCTCTTGGCTTAATATCCTGATATCCTGACTACAGTTTGGCAGTTCCCTAAACCAGAGACAAAGTTTTTTCTGCCTGTACCTTTGATCACTAAAACTGGGTAGATGACCATCTGGATATACAATGGCATCACCCCCTGTGACTTAGCTGCCTACAGACCCAAATCCAATTGCAAACTTCATCTCTCCGAAAGGGTATCTTTGAATGATGACAGTGACCTGGATTCACCTTGTTTTTCTGCACATTATAAATTACCTTGCTAGTCAATCTCCAATTTGGATAAAATACGGCTGTATATTATTCTCTGGCTTAGTCATAACACTTTCTTTCTTTCTGCTAGTTCTGCCATTGAACATATAAAGGATTTTGGAGCAACGACTCTAACAATTTTTATATAAACCTAAAAGTACATAGGCACACTATTTTGAATTTTTTCAAAAGAATCATAAGACTTCTTTTAATACAAACTAGGCTTAATGTTTTTAGTATACTTTCAGCTAAAATAGCTCCTTGTGTGGCTCGAGTGGCATACATTCTCATAAGGACATGAACATTCATACCCCACCTAACTCTATTCAAGCCATTGGCGACATTTTCTCAATAAATATTGAACAGCTTGTCCTATAGACCATTGACTCAGTTGACCATTAAGGATCATAGAAAATTTCAACTTCATGAGAGTCTTACTGGTACCCATCTATTTGTTGAGATTTGGTTTGGATTTTAGCTGAAATACCAAGCTAGGCATTTCTTTTTATCAAACCATTTAGGGTTGTACATTTTACCACAGCCTTTGGTATTCTGTGCTCATCTTCATTTGAATTAAGCTAAGCTTTTGGTCTATAAACATACCCTTATTACGAAGACCTATTCCAGAATATTACCTAGAAATGGTATTAAGTGATATTAAATTCCAAACTTTTAAATAATATTGTTAATAAGAAAAAGGTTAGGTCTGTCTGTTCCACAGCAAGACCAGGGGGGAAAAGAAGAAAAACATCTGTATGTATATATACTCTGCATAGCACCCCACCCCCATCCCAAACAAGCTACAGTGTTTCAGCAGAGGCGGGGTGGAAGGGTGAAATGGATAGGAAAAAACAGAAACATGGATAAAATTATATAAATAACTGTTGTTATTCTTGGATGGCGAAATGCAGATCAACACTTGAATGAATGTTGCCTTACAGAAATTTCAGTGCACAATGAAGCCTTGTTGTTACTCTAAAACGTTGTTCAAAGCCAGAAGCCAAGAAAAAGTTTTCAGATATCTTGACAGAGACCCACGATGGAGTGTTTTACCAGTGCTTCTGAAGGAAACCTCCGTGAATACTATTTTTATTTGAATTATGACATATACACAAGAAACACTTAAAGTGGCTGCTGATAACCAAAGTGTTCCATTTCTCAAGGAAGGAGAGGAGCAACGTCAAAGTAATAACACAATTACTTGGGACTTAATTCTCCAAATCCCACCCTGTTTAAATGACCCAAAAGCAAAGGGAAGAACTGGCTTTGTAAGAAACTCATTGTGCCTTGAATGCCTGAGAATATTATTTACTGTAAGTACTGATGGTGTGACATTAAAGACAAAGCTTTGTGTCTCCATGGTGGGAAACAAAATATAAAACAATAACCAGTAGAGCCCATGATATCTACACAATATGAAAGGGAGAGAGATTCATAATACATATAGAAATTTGTGCATAGGCCACTAGCTTTTAATGCTGGTTAGGAAAACATTTATATTGAGAACATAACCCTGCTAATTTCTTCCTCATTGTTCTGGGCAGTTAGAAGAAATGTTCAGGGCATGGATTTTAAGTTTGAGATCAAATTCTTGTTCAATGTCTTAGTAGTCATGTTTCATTAGGTAAATCTCATGTAATCTAGTACATTTTCATTGATGGATTCAACATTACTTACTGAGCACCTGCTATATGTTTTAGATGTTTAGGAGATACCAGTAGGTAAGACAACCAAAAATACCTGGCCACGTAGGGTTGACATTCTAGCAAGGGGAGACAGAAAACAAACAACAAACGTAATCGATAAGTAATTTATGGAGTATGTTAGAACATAAGAGCTATGTAAAATTTAAAAAAAAGGTAAAGCAGAATAAGAGGGATGTGAGCTGGTAGAGGTTTAACTGAAAGTTTAGATATCATAATCAGACTTGGCCTCGCTGAGAAGGTACCTGGTAGAGGAAATCAGCAGAGCATTGTTATTGTATTTGTTTCCTGTGGCCGCTATAGCAAATGACTGCAAACCTTTAAAATGACACAGACGAGGATTTTAAAATAACACAGACTTATTATACTACATTTATGGAGGTCAGAAGTCCAAAATGTATCTCACTGGACTAAACTCAAGGTGTTGATAAGGCTGTTTTCCTTCCAGAGGCCCTAGAGAAAAATCTTTTCCTTTCCTTTTCCAGCTTGTAAACACCTACATGCCCTGACTTCTGATGATACCCTTCCAATTTCTGCTTCTATCATCATATCTCCTCTGACTTTTGACACTCCTGCTTCCCTAAGGACACTTTTAATTACATTAAGCCTACTGGAATAATCTAGGATAATCTTCCCATCTCAAGGTCCTTAACTTAATCACAAGCGCAAAATCCATTTTGCCATGTAACTTAACATATTCACAGGTTCCAGGGATTAGGACATGAATGTCTTTGGGAGGTTATTATTTTGTTTAACACAGTTACATTTTGAATATTTTCCTAACCAAAGAATTTAGAGGCTGTTGGCCCTGTATCAAGTTCTCCTTTGCAAATCTTTCTCTCCCCTTAACCCCACCCAGGATTCCCAAACGTACTGTATCTCCATTCTGATTTCTACTGTTTGTTTTTATTTGGGTTTTCCACTAGAAAGACATGTAGATCCATCCTTGATGTCAAAGTGTAAAAGAAGTGAGGAAGTTAGTTGTGCATGGATTTGAGGAAAGACATATAAGATGGAGAGAGGAGTCATTTCTGAGGCTGTAAGGCACCAACCAGCAAGCCTGGCATGTTGAAAGAACAGTAGGCAAGCCCATACAGCTGGGAAGAGTGAATGGAGGTGAGGGTGCCAGGTGATAAGGGAAAAGAGATAAGGGGGTCCTGCTCCTGGGAAGCCCTGCAGGCCACTTTTATCATGACAGACCTGGGAAGATAGTGGCAATCTGATCTTCTTCCCTGTGATATGTTCTGGCTGGTGTGATTAATAAGTCCTTTTAGGGCTATAGGGCTATAATCAAATCACCAAAAGAATAGGTGTCATGATTTACCTTGATCTTAGTCAATGGCTGGAAATTTCTTTTCTTTTCTTTCAACTGCCTTGGTGCTGCACTAAAGAGCCAAATCTTTACTCAGGGTAAATGAACCATCTCCAGGGGGTAGAGAGAGGAAAAGGCCCCTGCCTCAAAGCCTGAGCAATCAATCTAGTGAACTGGCCCCATTCTTTGTTTCTTCCAAGAGCAGATGAGACTTCCCCTTATTCTCCCTCAGTTTCAGGAAGCTCCATGCCATTCATAATACACACATACATGTGTTTTGCATATAGACCAAGCAGAGACTACCAAACTCCTGAACTCTGGCTGGTCTCAGATGCCAAGAGTTGGGATCCTCCCCCACCCTGTTTACCCTTCCCCCTCTCCTCCCCAGCAGAGGAAGTAGCTAGGGCTGGAAGGAGCCACTGCTTTACAGACTCATTCTTCTCTGGATTTCCTGCCTCCCCCGCCTGCCAAACCTCACTTCTGAAAAGCCCGGCTTCACCTTCTATGAGTCAGGTCAGTTGCGGAAAAAAACCTGATTTCATATCAGGCTGTAACAGATGAGCTTTTTGGTTGTATGTGGCCTCAGGCGGAAGCCTGGGCCTCCCATTAGTGCGCTCTGCCTTCGACTGCTGAATGTGAGCTGCTGAGGAGCGGACCAGAGAGCGCTGGCCTGCCCCGAAGCCCAGGAGAACAAACAAGGCCAGTGTGCACTCCAGGGGTCCAGGGCACCAGGCTGTGGGGTGTTTCCTGTGTTCCCTGTAACCTGGATGTGTTGCTCATTATTTGATCATCTTCAGATGGGAGATGTGACAAGCTGGGGAGTCGTGGCCACTCCTGAGCACATGGACAGCTGAAAAGGGCCTTTGTCTCTTGGTCCTTCTAGTCATCTGGGCAGGAGCCCAGGAGCAAAGGACAAGGGGGAGAAAGCAAATCAACCCTCTTGCTCCTGACAGAATGGCCCTGGCACTGAAGAAGCAAGCGATATCAGCCAGAATTAATTAACAAGTGTATACAGTAGGGTGTATAACACCCTAATGTATTATTTATTATTGTTGTTGTCAGTAGTAGTCGTTGTGAGGGGAGGAGAAAAAGGAATACCAAATTCTCTTTCAAATGGCCAAAGGGAAAATAACGTAGAATGTTTCCTGTCAGAAGCCTGAATAGCGGGAAACTAATTATTTTAGAAAGTCTAATAAATAAGGTAATCAAAATAGAGAAGTAAGGTGAATACAGATTTCATATTAGGGAAATTTGAAGCCATCTACTTCTGATGGATTTGGCAAGAAGTGGGAATATGTCAGGACTTTTGTTTTTGTTTCTGTTCTCTTAGAAAGACAGAGTGTTTGGGTAACCCAGTGTCTGGGATACACGGAACAGGTTTATTGACAGCTCTGTCAAGGAGAGTACTTTCTCTTTCTGTCATTGGATTATTGAAGGTACCACATACACAGACAATATCCTAAATCTGCCTAGAAGTAACACAGAGATAGCACCACACAGCTAATTTACATATCATTCAATGATGGCAAAATTTTATGCATGGTAGTTTATACTCAAATAGATATAGACACAGCAGAGCTACACAATAGTTCTGTGACACTCAGAAAAGACTATACATGGACTTACGTGGTGGTTGAGATACATGTTACTCTATACCATATATGGAATTCCTACCTTTTAACAATGTTCTTGTCCTTATATGGAATGCTGATTTGATTTAGAATCTTTTGGATTTGGATCTTTTAGAAGTGTTCACTTCATATACAGACAGAGTAAGCAATGGCCCATTGTAAAATGAGGTCTAGGATCCTGGAAAGGAATCCTTTATCTTTTCACATACTCTGATGGATGGATGCCTTGAAATCCCACCATCAAAATGTCCTCCATTAAAATGAATATTTTGATTCCTTTTCAGATAGCTTTATCCCTAAAAGCTATCAGTCACATATTGATATGAAAAACCTAAGAGCAGATTTTGGCGGGAACTAGGGTAAGGAAAAAAACAAAGGGGAAAAAAGGCCTCCAGGTTAAAGAGATGAGGATTCTTTCTCAATAAACTCCAGGAGTTCCTAGCTTTGACACAATATAAATCTAGTCTTAAAATATTACAGGGAAAAGGACAATTCCTTGCTAACAGACAGGCTAAATGACCTGATAAAACCATCACAGTTTAATTTTAGATTACTAGATAAATTGGTTTTGCCTAGATGAGTGAGTGAGTGAATGAATGAATGAATCTTGACCCATTGATGAACCACAATGAAAGAGGAACATTGCTGAATAGAGGAGGAGATAGGGAATCAAACATGTGGTTTCTTTTGTCTCCATTCTTTTAGCTATTTAGTCTTAATAGACACGGGAAAATCTTTCTTTTTATCTTAATAGACATGGGAAAAAACCTTTGGAGCTGGTACATGACAAAAATGAGAATTAGAAGATCAGTTCAGGAGCCGAGGTGATCAGAGACCCATGGTTACCTGAGTTGAGGTGGCAGCTTGAACCTATTACGCACATCGTCAAAGCGGTTCCCGAGGTAAGGAGTGTCCACTGTCAGAAATATGGCCTTGTAGCCCCTTTGTTCTGCCCGCTGCACTAGCTGCTTGGTGACCTCACGGTCCTTGTAGATGTACAGTTGCAGCCAGCGGAGTGCCTCGGGACTGGCCTCTGCCACTTCTTCAATTGAGGAAGTGGACCAGGAACTCAGCATCATCCCGGTTCCCAGTGACCTGCAGGCTGAGGAAGAAAGAAGATAAAGGCAAGCCCAGCATTCTTCCTCACTCCAAAGCCTTCAGGCTGTGGCTCAAGGGGGTGGAAACATCTACAAGAGCAATTTGGCAATAAGAAGTCAGTTCTTTAAATAATTAGAAATATGCTTTCCTTTCTACACTCCGAATTGATCTTGAAGAGAAAAATGAGTCAAATAGCCAAAGATGTACTATGGGTAGGGATGAAAAAATTTGGAACAACCTGAATCTCCAACCTTAGGGGATTGGATACACTGCAGTACATATATAAAATGAAAGGTACACACCCATTAAAGGCAATATGTTTGTGGTGTTTAATTTTGTGTGTCAACTTGGCTAAGTGATGGTTTCCAGAATTTGCTCAAATACATCTGGTTGTTGCTGTGAAGGTATGTTTTAAGGAGACTAACGTTCAAATAGGTAGATTTTAAGTAAGGTAGATTACTCTCCATAAGGTGAATAGGGATCATCCAATCAATTGAAGGCTTTCCCTGAGGATTCTGTTAGCAGACTGCCTTCAGACCCAAACTGCAACATGAACTCTTCTCTAGGTCTCCAACCTGACAGCTTACCCTTTAGGTTTTAGACTTGCCAGGGTCCACAAATAAATCCCCCTACCTTTGCCTCTCTTTCTATGTACATATTCTGTTTCTATTACAGTTATAAAAGAATAATATTATTTGTGGATACAGAAAGAATTTCAAGATATATTTTTGAAAAGTCTACAAAATGACACATATAATTCCACATTTGTACCAGTGTGATTATTGGTTTATAAACCTAAACAAACTAATTGTTAATGAGAGGTTGGAGAGTTTAATTATTTTCTTCGTTTTTAACTTTTTAACTTTTATCTTCAAACATTTTGTTAAGGGTGCATTCTCCCGTTTATGTTGTACTTTTTAATATTATAAAATATGTATGCTAGACATCCCAAGTACATAGCAGCTCCCTCACAACCTTTTGAGCAAGATATCAAGAAATGAGCACAGTGAAAGTGAAAAATAAGTAATAAATTAGATAGATTCACCTAACCAATAGTCTTAGAGAACTGGGAAGAACATGGGGGATAAGCTTTTCACCAAAAAAAGGGTAAAAGGCAGTAGAATTGGGGTCATCTTTAGTGGAGGAGAAACTGATACAATGTTTGTATGCCAAATACCAAACATGGCAAGAGACAATATGTCTCTAACCATATGTAAACTAATCATATGACCCTGGGTCATTCAACTTATCTGTGTGCCTGACATATATCAAATGGCAGTAAAAGTAGTTGTCCAAGTGACACTCCTTGGGTGATGTTGAGATCAAGTGATGTGCTGTTTAAGATACGACTTTGAGAAGCTAAAATGCTTCCATGCATTTTCAAATCTCCCTTCAGTGTTTGTGAAAACATAGTGTGCAAACATTCCCCCAGAATTTCTAGTTCAGTAGGTCTGAGATGGGGCCTGAGAATTTGCCTTTCCAACCAGTTCCCAAAGGTGCTGATGCTGCCAGTCCCCTGTACCACACTTTGAAATTTAAGTAGTAGCATTATCATTTGGTAGTAAAATTCTAAGTCCACACGGTAATAAAATGGATTTTGTTCTGCACAAATATTACTTTTCCTATGGTAGGTGCTGCGTTCCTGTGGTTCAGGTGAGAGTTCAGATAAAGAAGACCTAAACTGGAGATTATCTTGTCTGTGAGCAGCTAATTTGTTCCCTCCAAGTGTGCCTTGAGAATTGCTCTCAAGAGGCTCATGACTTGCAAAATATTGTCACAACCCACATCTTATTAAGTAATAACACATATGCACATCTAGACCATTGTCTGATTTTCATTAAGATTTATAAATATGGAAAATAGCTCCAGGTCATCTACTGCTGTTTGGAAGGAACACCAGGGAACGCTGACTGGGTCAGAATCCCCTAACCATCAATTTATCACAGAGAAAATATGCCCTGAAAAGGATGTGCTCTAAGATGGCACAGAAATGGAGAGCTGAGTGGGATGAGGACCCAGCATGTCTGACTACTTCTGCAGGGCAATGATCTTTCTAGATAGAATTCTTAGATGCCCAAAAGACTCTCTGGTATCAAGCATAGATAAATGCGTTCTCCCAATTCTTCAGAGCCATCATCCCCAAAGGGAGTAGGTTTGCCATATCCCTGAAGGATGCTACCATGCCAACAGCTCTGGGAAGGCATGGAAATGGAAACCAGGGTGTAGGGCCTGCCACATACTGCAGTACAGAGTGTAGCTACACAAAGTGGTTCAGCTAAGAGGACCATCAAATGATAGGACAACTTTTTGTAGTGTATACAAAGGCATCATGTTGGTGAGCGGCTCCTCTGTCAATAAAGATCAAGAATCCTCAAAAAGATCTTGAATTCATAAGAAATATCTACAGACACTCCACAAAGACCATTAAAATCGTTAAGCTATCAAACTTGCAAGAGGTGTTGACCTTCACAAACCTTTTGTCTAGTCCCCTTGGGTGGGTATGTCCAGAGAAAAGCAAAGCTAGTTCATGCCATCTATTTCCTGAGTCTACTGCTTTGATACTAATGGTTCCTGAAGCTATTGGTGCTCAATGTTTATTTTTCAATGATTAAATCATATGGGGCTAAATTTTGAGAATCAGGACCTTTAAACTTCTAAGTTACCAATGTTTCCAGCTGTAGGCATTTAATAAATATTTGGTGATTTTACTTCAGGAGAAAATGCTGGATGCAGAGAGAATTTCAGAGCCTGTGCTGACATACTACGAGTTGAGACTATATATTACTCCCAGGAGAGAACAGGAGCAAAACTTAGAAGGCTTCATGCTCCTTGGAACATATATTACTGCCCACTGTGATCCCCATTCACCTGTGATCATATGCTGTGATAAAAAAAAGACAATTACGGATGAATTACATCTATGGTTTTCAACACAGTTTTATGTTGAATGAGATAGAGCACCCTGGGATTTTGCAAGGACCATTCAGAGAGACAATCACAACTTTGCCTGTTAAAATATTGAAACACTTCCATTCTAACTGGCAAATAACCATGGCTCTGAAGGAAATGACCCTCCTTCTTGAGTCCCTTCAATGTGGCATCATTCTCTTCTCTCCTCAAGGAATCCCTGGACCCCCACCCCTACAACCCAGAAATTCAAATGTTAATGCCTGGCAGGGCTGCTGGGCATCCAGAATGCTGTTAGAGCACTAGAAACCAGCATCTGAGCATCTCTTCTAATTGGTTAAAGTCTTTTGTTGTACTGGTTGCTAAATGTTTCAAATGTCATTTTTGCCTGATAAATAAAGAAAATGCCCTTCTAGCCCACATTGCTCTTTGGGAACAAAAACTACAAGATTTTTAATTTTATAAATCACTTGGCATAGTCAGACTTTGTTATAAAATTCTAATTAGAGTTATCCTAGTCCAGTGCATAAATGTTTTTGAAGCCCGTTTTCACTCCATATTAATTTTCTGCAATGAAACTCTGACCTGCTCTCAAAAGCAGCAACTGTTAGATTTCATTTTACAAGGGACAGTGGTTCACTTGCATGGAGCTGTGTGTCCAGCTTGCGGTGTAGCAACAGAAGACTCCAGCATATGTTGCATTTTCATAACTCCTAGCAAAATGGAGATCACATCTGAGGTGGTAAAGACAAGGCCTGGCCCTTGCCCAAGATGAAAGTCCCTAATGTTGATCCAAGTCTAAAAATCTTGGCTTTCATTATAGCCAGCATATCCTAGAGATACAATATCCAGGAGGATACACAATCAAGTAAACACTGATCCCATATGACATCCCACGACTCTGTTTCCTTACTTTCACTCACTCCCTCTTTTATCATCCCTAAGATATATTTTCAAGAATAAAAACCTAAACCTTTAATGCTCTAGATGTATTCATATTTTAATTTTTTCTTCTTCTTTATTTAGAGACAGCAGTAATACATTATGCCATTGTTATAAAAAATGCATATGAGGGGTGCCTGGGTGGCTCAGTCTGTTAAGCAGCCAACTTAGGCTCAGGTCATGATCTCGCGGTCTGTGAGTTCGAGCCCCGCGTCGGGCTCTGTGCTGACAGCTCAGAGCCTGGTGCCTGTTTCAGATTCTGTGTCTCCCTCTTTCTGACCCTCCCCCGTTCATGCTCTGTCTCTCTCTGTCTCAAAAATAAATAAACATTAAAAAAAATTTTTAAAAATGCATGTGAGATACACACACACATTATCACTAAAAGAGACATTAGTAAGGTTGTAGACATTAAAGCATCAAAGATAGGGGCACTTGAGTAGCTCAGTCGGTTAAGTGTCCAACTATGGATCAGGTCATGATCCCCCAGTTTGTGGGTTCGAGCCCCATGTCAGGCTCTGTGCTGACAACATGGAACCTGGAGCCCACTTCAAGTTTTGGGTCTCCTCTGTCTCTCTGTTTCTTTGTCTCTGTCTCTCTCTCTCTCTCTGCCTCTTCCCCACTCATGCTCTGTCTCTCTCTTTCTCTCTCTCTCTCAAAATAAACATTTAAAAAATTATAAAGCATTGAAGATAAAGCCCTGGAAATGACCTAGGTAATAATATGTATTTCTTGAAAAAACAACAAGCTATAATGGATTGAGAGTCAGAAAGCCTGGGCTACTGTCCCAGGCTGGCCATCCATGAGGCACACTTCATCTGCAAAATATCTGTAACCACAGCTGCTATCTTGTCTGCTTCATAACACTGCTAGACAGTCAACACTGAGGCAAGGTTTGTGAACATTTTCTGTGTAAACTCTGAAGCCATGCATTTTTAAAGGGTTAAGTGAGAGAATGCCTAACACTACATGGGAAAAGAAGTCCTAGGTAGCCTTATAAACTCAGAATTTTGACAAGGACCTGGATTTCTTATCATTACTCATCATCTTCTCTACACCCAGCTTTTCCCAGCATTGGTTTTGATGATCAAGACACCCATTCCTCTTTGCAAAGAGAGTGTCAAATGCTCACTCCCTTAAACAAGAAAGCTCTCAAAG